GGTCGCGACAGGCTGTCCCGTGCGCCAGGACCGGGGAGAGGGGGCGGTGCTCGGCCTTGTCCCTCCCGTTCCCTGCTCCGACCGGGGAGAGCTGAATTCAGACGGCTAGGGAATAAAAATTCCCCCAGCCAGCACCCTTCGGTGCCGTGGGGTGAGTGCTGTACATACCGTTTCGTATACTTTTTTTAAGCACAAATATGTTAAAATCGAGTCTACGGTAGAGTTATGAGAAAGTCTGCTTCTGACCAGTATGTCAAATTTCAAGAGTGTGTCCTTTGATGTTTCTATTCATGTAGTAGTTATGTAGGGTTTTATGGCCATGTGGAACTAAATAGTTATCTTTGCCAGACACCTAGAAGGAGGGAGATCACTAATTTATATCATAAACAAACAAAAAAAAAATTAATAAGGTCCATTATAATAAACACAAACTGGTGGCTTAATACCTTACCTGGATCAAAATCAACTGAAAATGTTCAGGATTGATCCAGTCTTTTATCCAGTCCTAAGTACGTTTCCTTTCCTGTCACTTTTATGGTGGGTTAGTGCAGAAGGGCAGTTTGTTATTTACAGGACATATAGACACAATTTATTCCTTAAACTTAACCTTGATTTAACCTAGTTTTTTGTTTGGAAAGGAAGTCAGCAAAGGCTATGTTGCAGTCTCTGATGAATCTGCAAAAGGAGACTCTAGCACCATGTATGTGGCATTTGTCTTAGGAATTTTGTTAATAAAAAGAAGTTAGCTAATGTGTAAATTGTGTGTACAGTCTGTATATTTTTCTACTCTTCATTTTACTTCAAGACTTACTTATGTTGTCACTTGCTAAAGGTGTTCCCTTTGCTGTTACTCAAAATCTTTCAGGTATTCCTAACAGAATGAGATACTATCTCCTATTGATCTGTTTTGAGTTCCAGATTTATAACCTTTACCTGGCACAAACGAAGGAGATGATTTGCACTAGGATGTGAGAGGCGTGCTGGGTTACAAGAGTTAATCTAAATGAATCTATAATCTGAATGCTGCTTCAGTTGTTGCTGTGAAATACCAGAAGGGTGCTGTAATGAAATTCTTTGAGAATGCACCAGGTGGTAGATCTTGAGGCATTGATGTATGCAAATTCAAAATTCACTTGATGGCTGAATGTAGCTGTATAGAGGAAAAGGGAGAGATTTGTTTCAGCAGAGTTACCCCTCAACATAAAGCATGTTTCAGGTTTACAGTGCACTGAGTTTGCAGAAAGGCAGTAAAGCTTCGGCCTTTTGGGAATGCTGCAGTGCAAAACAAACCTGTGCTTCTGTTGCTATGCCAGGAGAAAACTATACTGTGAATTAATTTTCATTTGCATTGTAATATTACAACTTCAATAGTAATTAATAAGAAATGCAGATTTCAATATTAGTCTGTTAAAGAAAAGAACATTGCATACTGTTCTGAAATTTTGTAGGGATTTCTTTAAATAATACAAGTTAAAGATAAGACTTATTAAATCATGTAAGTTCATTTAAAAACCATGTTTAACACTATTTTTATAAAAAAATATGTTTGTAGGTCATTGCTTATAATGTAGCTGCATCTGAAGAAG